ACTTACCAATGGAAACAGTCCTAACCTGCAATCCGTCCCGCAGTTCAAGCCGAGTCATCGCCCCCCCCCTTCCTGAAAAAATTATTGCAAATTGCCAAAAAGAATAATCTGATTTTCTGAAACCGTCACACTAGCATAACCCCTTAACTTACCAATGGAAACAGTCCTAACCTGCAATCCGTCCCGCAGTTCAAGCCGAGTCGTCGCCCCCCCCCCCTTCCTCAAGCTTCCAACAGGATCGGTTTCCAAGTCTCCAGGAAACGCGAGAGCCCCTCCGCAAGAGACCCCAGTGTCGAGGCTTAAAATTCCAATCCGTGGAGGCGAACCAAAGGGAAATCGAGAGAAAGCCAGAGGGGTAGATATGAAACCGACTGGTATACAGGGGGAAAAGGGGGAGTTGTTGCACTCTGACTGCGGATTAAACCTCAACTCTAACCCCTCCTAATAGAAGCAGGGCAGTGGAAGGGGTGGGGGCTGTTCGGGGCGAGGAAGAACGGAGGGGCGCCATTATGCTCCATTATGAATGGTAACCAGTAGCCAAAGGAGGAAACTCCGCGGGGTGTCGATATATTGCCACCACCCTACGGGAGCCAGCCAGCTACCGCTCGTAAATAATAAACGGGCGCAAGGCTATTATAATGCACCGTTCACCGGCGACGCGGTACAAATTGCCGTGTGGTATATAACGCCAGGCGCGTGTTCAGGCATCGACCTAACCGGATATATGCCTTGTAGAGGCCAATCGATTATCGGTATTTCATCGATAACGTGTACCAGAGGCAGCCCACGATGATGATGGTGGTGGTTGCTGGTGCACGTTGCCACCGCGACCCCGTAATTATTCGAGTAGTATCGTGTGTGCCGTCGGGGAAAAGTGATTCTTCGTTTTGCCAAGTCGAAACCGATCGTCGAACCTACCCCCCCCCCCCACCTTGCAGTGGAAAATCATTTTTGTAGTTTTGTTTTTGCTTTGGTTTCACTGTAAGGATGAACAAAGGTTGATAGGGTTGGTATTCAGTGTCGTAATTGCGGTAATTAGTGGGTTAATAATATTTATTTCGGGTGCATATGGTCAGTAGTATATGAAATATTTCGTGTTCAATGCCTGGGAGCATTGGAACGCTCATCGAGCATTTACTGTATTTTTGGGAAAATTAATTCCGGTTGGTTGTTAGTCGAGCATATTGCACTTTGTACAAGTATTTCGGAAGTTTTTGCTCTTAGTATTAAGGTAGCATTAAGGGATAAAATTGAGTAAAAGGTAGCCATAAGTCTAAGTTAGGTATTTGCAAAAGTTATTACAAAATTCCCAAAATTTCCGAATAGCACGGGAATAGAATCGAAAGATTTATTTTCAGAACGCGCTATCCATATTTTTACTTACTACTTTCACAAATTCTAGCTTCCTTCGAACCATTTACGATGAATTTCAGATGAAATAGTAGAACCAGGGGAAGACTATAAGTATACTTTCCGTGTTAAGCACAGGATAAGTACGTTTAATTGGCGTCGAGGTACAGTTTTTTTTTTTCGTCAGATCGATCTGGTGCAACGGAGGGATGCCGTTCTATCGCTAAAACACGACCCCAGGTAAAGGGAGAAATTAGTGGAAAGAAAAAAAAGAAACAAAAAATCGTTCGGAATATCGGATCGGTGAAAGTGAATTCTGGCCGTTCCTCGAGCTTCACTTTCCACATTACTATTCGAACCTATTAAGTATCACCAGAACTTACGATTTCAAGATCTGAAAAATACTGTTTACAGGATATAAAAGTCGACGCTTATATTACTATAAATTAATAAAAGTGGATCGAAATATATAATTGTTTAATAACTAACATAAATCTTCGGTATGTATTTATTAAATTTTCATTATAGCCTTAGATTAAAAAGATACCGACCAATTGCAACTTTTTCAATTTTTGTTTACACATCATTTAGTAAACTAATGTCCCTAACTTCACAAAAGAACTCGCGTCATTTGGGCCAATTTTAAAAAGTTGTTCCATATTAAAGGGCGTACGAATACTTTTCTCCTGCACTGTACCTCCGCAAAAAGGGAAATCGAAAAAGTGCCCGTGAAATTCTCCCTCTAGAATAAACCGTACATACCCAAGAATGGCAGAGATCGACGAATTCGATCGTGGTGGGGCACAGATGATTTTCCAGACGTGGGTTCGGTAATCGAGCAGATTGTAATCGATTAGCCGCGTCGCCGGGAATCCATTTGCGGGAAATCGGCCGCTCCGCAGGGGCTCCAACGTCGGCCAGATCGAGCATGAAACCGATCCAATTTCAAAGATCTATATAACCCCCTTGCCTCCCCTTCAGAGTCCCTCTGCAGCACCTGCGAACTGTGTCCGACATTCGATACCTTCTTTCATCGCGATTCTCATCCGACTGGAAACGGTGTGTCCAGGGCCGTTCCTTGCGGGGGTGCAAAAGGTGCCCCCGCACCTGGGCAGCCGCAGATCGTTTATTACATGTAAAATTTTGGCTGGTAAGAAAACTCCCGTCATCGATAATTGTTATTGGTAACCAGAAGAAAAAAATTTTTCAGCATTTATAATGATTATTCGTAACCAGATAATATTTAGTAATATCCAGTTTCCATTTAAATAAAAATTACTTTTTTCTAAAACATATTTGAATAAATTGTTCTTTCATAAACCAATGGCCGTACATGGCTCAAACAAATATCATTTTCTTCAGAATTCCAAGATTTATCACTGCACTAAACCGCATTAAATTGTCAGCGTTACACCTGGGAACCTCTTTTTGTCAGTGCCGAGGAGCTTTCGAACACTCATCGAGGATTTACTGCACACAGAAACTCGGACGAAGAATAAATTGGAGTATCAATATCTTATTTATTGTTCTTATATTCCGTCTATACATTTCTTCGGATAACATATGGTAACTACAAACGAACGACGCGTCCTGGTCGCCGGAGAAATCTAAACATCTCGGGTGCCGTTATACTTACAGGCAAACACTTACGGTAATAGTCGTCGTAATACACGCTGCCGCGCCAATTAAACGATCCTCTCTCTTTTTCTCGACCGATACCTCTGTAAGTGCACGTTCCGTTCACCGTGAGACGCGGCAGCGTTTCCTCGATTAATACAATGGTGGATTAGCTAAAAGCGATTCACGCGTTATTTACACATTCGCTCCTATCTCCATGTAACCGATCGATATACAGGGTGTCCCAAATTTTGGGACTCAATTCGCGGGCCCGAGGATATTGGCTGGACGATCGAGAATAATTGAAAAAGTACAGTACACTTCCATTGATAAGTATCAGGATAATCAACGAATATGCAGTAAATGTTTACAAGCCATTACGAGAAATTGTTGAATGTAATAAAATAAATATTGTTTAGGGGACATTTAAAGCTCAATAAATAACATTTCTGTTATTCATTGGCGTAAGTTGGTGTAGACTGAGAGAAGGCTTAAAAAATCCTGCAGAACTTATCCTGCCGAGGGAATTATTGTTTACACGAACGTTTGTTTATTGTTCTCGACCGTTCGATAGATTCATAAAGCGAGCCACGCGAATTTCGCGGCACCCCTGCACTTTGTTAGGCTACACACATACATCTTAATTACCGTTCGATTTATCTACACATGTATAAAGGTATATCGTTACAACGAGGCCGTCGTCCGCCATCTTGGTACCACCGAAACGACACTAACTTGGAATTCGACGGAGAATCGAAGTAATTTAAAATATTACTTCGTACGATTATTATTAAAAAATATAGATTATTTGTTAGTGAACAAAAGAGTCTAAAATATATTATACAAGTAAAAGAGTTGTTCTGAAAGAACCTAAATGTCGTTTCCGCCATCTTGTGAACGCTATTTATATTCCTTTAATATCGAATTAATGATATTAACGTCGTATACTACTATATTTACACTTCGTTCGTCTATTATTTAACAAGATCTTGTAATACTGTTCGTGAAAATGAATGAAAATTCATCGATAATAATAACATTCTCGGTGGAAACGTTTGCTCCTGTATAATTATTCAAAACTTCTGTCACTGACCCGTATCTCCCATCGGATTCCAAGATGGCGTCCATATTCAACGACACTCTGTCACACGCCTAGCCCGTTTCTTTCGAAACATCGACTTTAGTACGAAGTAATATTTTCAAGTAAGTTACTGGCCGTCATCAGGCTTAGTCTCGCCGACACTGTGAGTACCCAAAAGTGTACTCGACACTTACATACGTATTCTCCGATGACTCTGAAGCACCAGAAGGGATCCACGGAAAATCAATTCCTTTCCTCCCTAAAGCCGTTTTTCTTTTTACACAACTCCGATTCACACGATCCTGAATAACTTGGGAAGAACAATGTAATCTGTTATAGTACGTTTCACTTCCAGGCAAAAAATTAGTACATCCCATCATCGATTGGAGCTTTGCGTCTAGGGTCTTCTATGGGACCCTTTTTTTCGTCACGGGCTGACGACGTCGCTTATTAAACTAAACTTCCTTCCGTTCCCTACTCTCCAAACCATTAAACTCTCATATACACGATTACACAGAGCAGGCCCTCCCCGAAGGCATTCCTTCAAGACCCAGAGCATCTTGTGACTCCAGCCTGGTCGCACTGGATAACGTAGATAAAGACCCTTAAATAAACACCGCAACCATCGTGACACATTCTAATTCCAGACACCAATCATCCTCAAAATTCATTCCACACGCCTCTCAAAATCAAAGGGACAGAGAGTCAGCATTTAAATCTCCTCCCAGAGACGTAGACCACCACGAGTACATCGTCCTCAAGACAATCCCAATCCACAAAGGGATATTCACCATCGGACCACCTCCACGTTCCACAGACTCACTTATCGGCCCCCAACACGGCCATTCAACGATTCCATCAATCTCACTGGGGTCACACACAACAAACTGCTCCTGAACACCCCCTAGAGTCCCATAGCGTCTCTGGAAACCACAGAATGTTTTGTCCCAATCCCAGAGCCTTTAGAGGATCCAAATAAGTCCTGGATCGTCGTTGGAAGCGCTTGGTGTCACTGGCGCCATCTTTCTCCATTCGAAAATCGAACTGCCCCCTCTTTCAGGTCTTAGTCTAACTCCTGGATTACCGTTGGAAGCTTGTGGTTTCGCAGGCGGCATTCTTTCCCTTCGAAAATCGAAGTGTCCTCTTGTTTAGGTCCAAGTCTGATTCCTAGATCGTCGCTGGAACCTTGTGGTTTCGCAGGCGCCATTTTTTCCCTTCGAAAATCGAAGTGTCCCTTTCTCCAGATCCATGTCTAACTCCTGGATCGTGGTTTCGCGGGCGCCATTTTTCTCCATTCGAAAATCGAAGTGTCCTCTTCTTCGGATCCAGGCTCCCCTTACATCGTGGCTACTATTGCAGGTAGGACCAGGTGGCCGTCTGCTGGGTGTCGTCCGGTCACTCGGAGTAGCTGGTCTTGTCGCTGGCGTCGTCGGGACTGGTCTCCCGATAGGCGTCCCCGGTCCCGTTCGCCGCTGCGTGCAGGCTCTGATTGGGTGGCTTGATCACAGTGGGCAGGTAACCGGTCCCGGCGTACGGGGCGGCGAGGAAACGGTGTCTGGTCGAGGGGATCGGTGTCGTGCAGTACGCAGCACGCGTAGCGTAAGCTGCGGCAGCGGAAACCGAGGCGGACGCCGCTGCGGCCGAGGCGAGGGCACCAGCTAATGGGGAGAACGCGGACTTCGGCTGTAGACTGTCCTCGCAGACCAACACCTCCATAGCGGAGACCACGTCGCCTGTGACAGAGACTTTGCTGTTTCTTTTTTCTGACGAGTCTGTCCTCCTGTTCGGATTCTTGTACAGTCGAGACAACAGGGGATGACAGAACTTTTCTTTTTTAGGTTCGGGTAACTGATCGGTGGATTCCAAGTTATGGGTATTGGGTAATTATTTTTTTTTTGTCTTTTTGGGCTTTGGTTGTCCTTTAACTGCTTGGTACTGGCTCTTTTTCTATGGTTGTACGATGGGTTTAGAGATTATAGAGTGAGGATTATGGCGTTTTTGGTTCGGGAGATTGATGGGGATTTGAACCTTTTAATTTGCAGACCTTTAAATTGTTATTAAAAAATTATGAGACTGATGTATATTTTTTATCTTCGTATTTTGAAGTCGAGAATATCCATATTAAATCAATCTGTTTTAGAAAATGTTTTTAATTTATTTTCAACCCTTTAATGCCCAAACACCTCTTCCGGGGAGAAAATTATTTCTTACGATTAGTTTACTCGAGTATGGTACCAATACGTGCACCTCGTATGTATTTTCACGATAAAACCCCGGGAAATATGACTTTCTAGATGTGACGTATAGTCACACTGGGCGTTAAAGAGTTAAAAGTTTGTCGAATTCTGTCGCCGGTTAATATGTAACTTTTATCAGCAAGGATCTGTAGTTTCACTGATGTCAAGTGGATATCCATGGTTTCACTTGAGAAATTCAAGTATTCCCTCCAAAAATAAAGAAATAAAATAGGTCTGTTTAATATCGAAGTTCTGACTTCAAATATATGTACATTGTATATATCAGTCTCATCATTTTGAAATAACGATTTAAGAGCCCGGGCAATAAAGGGTTAAGCATTTGTGAGAATTTTTTGGGGAGAAGATTATGAAGGAATAATAATAATAGCCTATCATTGTCTTCTAAGAATTTGAGAAAGTTTCATGTGAAAATAGTGCGATCATGTTTCATGCGGGATTGTAGAGAGAGAATACTGTATTTTGTCGTGCTATTGGATCAGTGATTCCGAGAATTTGTGAAATTTTCACGAAGGAAAATTACAATTGTGTTTCATATTTTCAGACAGTGAGACTTGGACCTTTCAGCCTTGAATACGATCAAATTGAATCGGCCTCGAAAATAACGAATCAAAATCACATAGAAGGTACTAGTAAAAAATCCTATAATTACATTGCAGCCTCCTAACACCAAGAACAGTACATAAAACTTTTCAATACCCATAATTCGGAATCCTGACAACCCATTCACCGAAAACGAAACCCCGAAAAAGGTCCGTTCCTCTAACACCCTTTCGATCGAGCCCGACAAGTGTCCCAACCAACAAACCCCGCATCTCCATTATTTATAATTCATCTGTATCACGACCGAAATAAAGAGAAAACAAACAAAAACAATCACCAAGTCCCTAAACTCGATCCTAACGCGAAGACAAAATTCCCGCCTAAGGGGCAAGGGGTTCAGGCTACCGCGACGGTTCGAAGTGGAAACCCGAGAACGATTCGGTTCCCGAATCGACCGCCGCGCAGAACGTTCTGAAAAGGGACTGGCCCACGGCCGTATCGTGTTCTGTCCGCGAATTGAATGAGATTGTACACGGATCGTGTTCCAGGTGTTTGCAGCCTACCTTTGCATCGATGCAGCAGAGCCTCGACATCCGCGCGACGTCTTCCCGGAAACACTCTCAGCAAAACGTCTACCGGGGACCGTTGTTGTTGCTGTTGTTGTTGCTGCTGTTGCTGCTGTAACTGCAGCCCACAGGTTTGCTGGATGCTCTGCATCTGCATCTGCATTTGGATCTCCCGATGCTCCGGAATGTGATGGTGGTGCTGATGCTGGTAGAGGGCCGGTGAACAGTAGAGAGAACTGGCCGCTGGCCCGTAGAGTGGCGCATATGGAGGGAAATGAACCGCCGTCGCTGCAGCCTGGAACAAAAGGAACTTCCATATTTTTCGGTTCCCAATCACTGATTTTCTGTTACAATTGGGGTGGTAAGTAAAGGATGTCTCTAAAATCGGTGGTCATTTGACCGACATTTTATTTCACGTTTAGTGTCATTAATAACTCTGAAGATATCAATAATAAAAGTTCTTGCTGAGACACCATTTAGCTATTGGAGTATCGGGGGGACTTACAGGTAGGATTGAATCGATACTGCCACGGTATCGATACTTTTACTCATTGCTGGTATTGCATGAAGGTATCAATACTTATTCGGTATCGAAACAAAAGTATCGATACCTGTTTGTATCGAATTATATTTTCCTAACCTAAATCATTGGCAATTTTGATAATGAGCTAAAGACTCCTGGGTTGTTATCAATTTTCCCAATGCGCCAAAAAGGACTGGATTAGATAATCAGCAATTTTCACAACGGGCTAAAAGAGGTCAATGGATTCGACGAAAGGAACTTACCGCCAGCGAAGGTAACGGTGGGCTAGGTCTAGGTTGCACCAGATCCACCGGTTGGAGTGTCTGTTGCGTTTGTTGTGGACTTCCACTTTTACGAAGACTGAGGTTTTCCGGCGCTGGTGTGTCCTCTCGTTGAGGCGTCAGGGCTGGCGTCAGCGGAGGCGTGTGAGTCGGGCTCTGCGAGCCTGGATCCGGACTTCCCTCCTCGGAATCATTTAAACTACTGGACCGTTTCATTGTCGTCTCGTTCTCCGTCAATCCGACCGACGTTGGTACTCCTGTCACGCGAACGATAAAGTACAGAATGTTCAAAAACGGTCCTGTTAAACTTTACGTTAAATATAAAAATGGCTGCCAAAAGTATCCGGCCAAACTGTGCTTTCAACATACCTGTTTACAAATATACAATAAGAATAAATTCTTGATATTATCCATATTGAGGATATATTGCTTCCTCAGATTTTTGGTGATATTAAAAATTTTTTAACAGAAGTTCTGACAAAGATACGTGGTGAAATTACAGTTTGGTCGAAACACGAAAAACCCCGACCAATCAGACTGCGAGTCTGCGGTCCAAACTCTGATTGGTCGGGGGTTTTCGTCGATATCTCGTTAACAAAGCCTCGGACAACATTTTTCCTAAGGAAAAACTTGCTCCAAATCGCCTCACGAGTCTCCCATTTCAGGGACCTACAACACTTTTCTTACACCCTGTATATACGACTTTAGACGGGGACTCACCCAATGGACGGTCAGCAAGAAGTTCCCCGCCAGAATCGGAGTCACGGTCGTCTTCGTTACCGGTGTCGCTCGTGGAGAGCATTGTTCCCGTAGTGCTCTCAGAGATTCTCGACCTCTTTGTGCCTGGAACAAAACAGGGGCGTATCGCTCGAATATAAAAAAACAAAAAAAAAAAAAAAAAAAAAAAAAAAAAAAAAAAAAAAAAAAAAAAAAAAGGGGGAAAAGAGGGAGAGAGTGGCACGCATTAGTACGCACAATACCGATGAAATTCTCCGGCGAGCAAACACTTTGTATTGTTCTACGACGCACGCCGAATTGACTCTTACCGATCCTCGACACCCTTGAAAAAACGTTGTGCATCTTTTATTGCCGGCGATACCCCGCGGTGTTTACCGGCCGGCCACGGGCCCCGCCGGCTCGAGCATTATACACTCCCGTTCGAGCGGTTTAGTGAAGTTCGCCGTACAAAAGCAATCGTAGGTTTCAACCATTCATGATGGAAACGTGTCCCACAGATTCTGTACCCGAAGGAAGAATGTACACTCGAACCTGGTACACGTTCTCCAAAGTAATCGAAACCCGGAAAAATGATCTAGGAAATTTATTTTAAATATCAAAATGTTATGAACCAATTGTGCGCTTGAATTTTTGAAAAAAATTGAGCAAAACGGAGTTGGTCTAGTTTTGCAGAAAAAATGTATTTTAAATGTGGAAAGTTTGAGCACCAATCGAGTGATTTATACTTTATGTATTACTCCAATAAATTTCTGCCCAACTCTGACATTACGCTTCTTTACATCCCAACAATTAACCGGCGACTATTAAGAGATTAAAGAACACCTTAGATAATCGATCTCCTGGACCCCTAAAAAAGAAAGAATCCCCTGATCTTCGTGCATTGCCGCTAAATTCTCGGTCCATCTCACGCTTAATTTCCGCCGGCAACAACATTAACGAGGATCGACAGCGGCTTCCGGGGGCCAGGGAGATGCAGAAGGAATGCAATATCGGGACGCCGGTGTTAATGTAACCCGTGGGGAATTCCAGTCGCGCCTTTCGGGACACAAAAGGGAAAGCAGCCTTTCCCTCCGTCCCTTCTCCGGGTCGTATCACGGACACACGCGTGTCTGGCCTGCCGGCCGCAGCTGGGATGGATTATGAGACAGTTATTAAAATATCATTCCTCCTGTTGGACCCACCCTTACCCACCAACCCCGTATATATCGCCCTCTTGGTCGACGCGCAACCCGCAAACAGGGGTCTCGAGAGCCCATGGTAACGTGAGCTGATGTCCCTTGTTGTACATACCCTTCGGCAGGGCTGTTGGCGTGTTTACGGCACACTCGAGGTGGATCTATGTATCTGCATTAGTGAAATGATAGCTGCGTGGTAGAAAGAGTAGCTTCGATTAAGATGAATTCTTTGGGTATGAGTCGGTTCAGTGGAAAACAGTGGCGTCAGTGATCTCCACGTTGTAGACACTTCTTGGGTAGGGTCTTAGCAAAATGAAATAAATGTTTATGGGGCAGTCGAGGAGGATCTGTCCATATTAGTGAAATGATATTATGAAGTAGATCGTAAAAAGGGTAGCATCGATTCGGATGAATTTTTTCGGCCTGAGTCGGTTCAGTGGAAAACAGTGGCGTCAGTGATCTCCACGTTGTAGACACTTCTTGGTTAGTGTTTTAGTAAAATGAAATACATATTTATGGGGCAATCGAAAAATACCACTCTTACCTTAATGAAATGATATTGTACGGTGAGTAGTAGAAAGGTTAGCTTGGATTTGAATAAATCATTTGGGCCCGATGTTGACTTACTGTAAGTACCATACAGAAGCTTGAGCTATCTCTAATGTTCTTTATTAACGTTAATGGATCCTCTTTTAAGATATTGCGGTATCGGAGTTGATTTAAGATTCAGGTCAAACGTCACTGGTGTTACAGCAAACGTAATCAACTTTCTTTCTGGTTTCCTGGACTGTCGTCATGCCGAGAAAGACGGTGAGTCTAATGGCGGTCAGTGGCGGGGGCTGCTGTTCAAGTTTCTTCGGTCGTCGTTACCAAGCCGCTCGAAACTTGTATTTCTGCGGGGACGGTTGGGTTCAAGTGAAACGGAAGACCAAGAACCGACTCGTTTATTTTTCCGCTCGGTGGTCGTTACGGGGCCTCGTTACCAGGAAATGTTTGAAAGCAAACATCGGAACTTGGAAACTATAGGCAACCCTCGTGCAACACGGTACATTTCCATAACACGGTTAGAGAATCGAGCGAACCCCAAAATAATGTCATCAATTCCAGTCAAAAATAAAAAAAAAAACATTCTCTAAAAATTCAGACATTCATCAAGATATTGGGAACACTGTTAGTGAATGATGACGTCATCCAAGTAAGGCTACTGATGCTGCCTTTATGTGTTCAAATTGTCTTAAAAAAGTAAAATAAAACAAGTGTCTTTTAACTTTTAATGATAATTTTAATTTATTATTTTAAGCAGGGTCTCATATCAGGAGGAATTTCTTAAAACCATTAATTCTGTACTCCTTTATATTTTCTCTACTCTCGTACTAAATAATAGTATCCAAGAAACTAATGATTTTCTTAAGCTACGTCTCCACTATGCCGATCGAAAAAACCCGATCGGCCAGTCTTGCGTCCCAATTATGCCGCGCAGCCTATGACATATCCCCATATGTTCGATTCTGCCGATCGGCATAATGGAGACGCACCTTTAAGTATGTACAAAATTCCTGACAAATACAGTAGCGCAAAAACTTTTAATTTTTATCCCTTTCTATTCCCTAATAATTAATGAAACATAAATGACATCTCATATTCGGTGTCGTTACTCTAACCACCTCAAAAAGGATCTCGAAATCGTTCCGGAAACCACCACCGCGATCACGAGGGCTCGAGTCCTGTCGATCGAAACCAGATGAAGAATTGAAACGTTAACCCTGGTCGGTTCTTTCTCTCGAGGTTGTCAGAAATAATTGCGAGAGGGTCCACACGTACCTATATAACCCCACCCCCCTCCACATAATCGCAGAACGTAATACCAAGGGGTGGGGGTGGGTTTTCGAGTGCGCGGTTATAACGTGTGGAGGCGTATGCACGTGGCACTGGGGCCATTCAACCGCCCAGCAATGCGTGAAAGAATCCCCGTGTTCCAAAAGGGGTGGGGGGTTGCGTTGCCCGCCTCAAGAAACTCCGCTTCGGCTGACCGCTCGTTAAAAAGTTTAACCGGCCGTTTATTAGCGAACGAAGAGAGGGTGGAGGAACGAGAAAATGTAGCTTCCACTCTGGCGGTTACGCCCGACCACCCCCCAGAGCTCTTTCTTCATCCCTCGAGCTTCCTGTTCCTTGGTCTTGACGCGCGCGCGCACACGCTTCCGATAACAAGGTTGCTTCGAGTGCCACTCCGATCTTCGTCCAGAGCAACTATATAACAAGTGCACTAGGGGGACCGTTTTGGTTAATTACCGTGGTGTTCCTTTTCTTCATCTGCGTCGAATTAAACCCCTTTTCCGGAGAATGTTTTTTAACTCACTGTACCTCTCTGATATCTTGTAGAAGAATTGTTTTTTTTTTTTATAAAATTAGCACCCGACGCATGAATTTATGTTCGAATTGCCAATGTCTAAGACTATTTAGCATCTATTCCCCGATTCTAGCCATCGATTAGGCATTTCATTGAAAGAAATTCCAAAAGAATCGAAACCTACCCTACTTTCGATCCCCCATTCCTTCGTTCCTGCGATTCTGACGCACAGTGTCAAACGAGGGATTCCATTCGGTGATCTGAACTGGTAATAAATCGTCTGACGTTACAGAGGGAGGTTCTATCAGCCGGTTCCTCGACATCGAAACGAGTTTTATTAACTCACCTTTGACGTCTCGAAATACATCGGGATACGTTACACCGTGGAGAAAGTTAGATTCCGTCGGCCGTGTGTGTCCAAGTGAACGGAGAGGTGTGGAGAGAAAGAGAGAGATTACAATAAATTGCGAGCACCCTTCTCGAAATACGAGACCATAGCTCCGATACGGGGGACAAAAAAGAAAATACAAATTCCTAAATAGATCGCGACACTGTGCTCCCGTCGTTTCTTTTTCACGCTGGTCCACGCGTTTCTGGGCGTAGCCTGTCACAATGGTCTCCGTTTTCACACCTTTTCTCCACCGTATTGATTCACAGAGGCACGATCATCACTCCCCTCGGATACGAAAACCGACCCGGATAATCCGTTCCGGTTCATAATCGAACGTTCAGAATCCTAATACGCTCATGAGTATCGCGTTTACGACGATTTCTGTGTAACTTTTATGCGAGGTTTCTCGACCTATCTGGTTTCTATCAACATACAGTAAATGATCGATGAGTGTTCGAAGGCTCCTCGGCGCTAACAGGGCACAGTCCCCAGATGTAACGCTGATTTTTCAATAAGATTTAACACAGTGACAGAGCTTGGAATTCTCAGTTCAAATCAATTCATTTATTCAATTTCGGAATTTTAATAATACCCAAAACGTAGGAGGCCTTTTCCCTACGTTACTTTCTCCACTAGGGGAAAAAGCGGCATAGAAGAAAAGTCTCCTACCACCTGGTAAATTTATTCCAAGTACTGTAATAAATGTTAAACCGAGTGATAATTTGGCATAAATTTCAATAATTCCCAATACCAAGTGGTAAGTGGCGTTTTCCTTAATTCGTTACTTTTTCCCCTGGTCGAAGCCGAGTTTGCTCCCAACTGTACACGATTAATTAGACGTCGTCCTCGGTTGGTGTACATACGTAGGTACAAGTCCGTAGGCGGCAACGACGGCGGATTCTCTTGACCGATGACAAGACGCACTCGAAGCAGATACAACACACACGTGACCGGGGGCAAAGCGAACGGTATGGTGCAGCTGAAGAGACAGAGGGGTGGGAGGCACAGCGCGTCGTCGTCGTCGTCGTTGTAGGTCTACGCCCCAAACCCGCCGCGCGCTGCGTATCACCGGCACGGTGGAGACAGACGCGGACAATGGAATCACGGGAGGACAATGCGGAATAATTTAGAATGGCATATAGATATCGGGAGCTTCCGGCCTACGGCGGGCACGGCATAATAGAGAATAGGA